TTTCTCTCCACAACAACAACCCCACCAACATTTGTTATTATTTGATTTCTTGATAGCAGCTATTCTTTGTGGGGTTAGGTGGAATCTCAGTGTTGTTTTGATCTGCATCTCTCAAATGACCAGTGAGGTGGAGCATTTTTTCATATATTTACTTGATGCTTTTATTTCTTTGTCTGATAAATGTCTGTTCATTTCAGATGCCCATTGTTGAATGGGGTCTTTATATTGGAGGGGGCTGATTTTTGGGGGTTCTTTATATATTCTAGATAAGAGTTCTTTGTCTGAGGAGCAGCTGGTACATTTTTTTTCCCACATTGCAGGTTGTCTTTTAGTTCTGTTGATGGTTTCTTTTGCAGTGCAGAAGCTTTGTAATAAGATGAGATCCCAGTTGTTGAATCTTTCTGGTATTTCCCGTGCTACTGAAGATTTGTTCATAAAGTCTTTTCCTATACCAGTGTCTTCAAGAGCTCTGACTAACTTATCTTGCAGCAAATTTAGTGACTCTTTTTATATTTAGATCTTTAATCCACTGGATTTTAGTTTAGTCCATGGTGAAAATAAGGGTCCAGTTTTAATCTTTGGCAGGTTGAAATCCAATTTTTACAACACCTTTATTAAAGAGACTGCCTTGCCTCCAGTGAGGATGGTTGGCTCCTTTGTCAAAGTTGAGGTAGCTGCGTACATCTGGAGTTGTTTTTGTATCTTCCAATCTATTCCACTGATCCTCAGGTCTGTTAATTTTCTTTTAAATGACATGTGCAAACGGGTTTCTTTTTAAAAAAGAAAGTTCCAATGCCCCCACGATGCCCTCCAAGTATCCAGGATGTTTCAGCCCACCCTTCAGGTTCTGCAGTCAGGAGTTTGTGTGTGTGCCCATCCACCCCATTAGATGTACAGTGGCTCTGAGTCTAGTTATCCGCCCAGTGAATGTGAATGCTGATCACCGTTTAAAATTAGTTCTTGGCACAGTGTTTTGTCCTGAGGTGCACTGAGTCGACTGGGATGTACTCAGCCATAATGTGTCCCCAAAAAAGGAATGAAACCTAATGCAATGTCATCTTGAAACAGATAAAGATGCCAGATTTACTTGAATATGCAAAATGTTGGCCAAGATTATGCAAGATTTATTGAACCTGCTGCTCAAATAATTTTTCTATGTTAAAGCAAAGAAAAAATAAATAACATTTGCAAATAGAATTACACAAGTATATAAGTATTAGATATTTGAGGTATAGCCTCTCATGCCCTAGTCACACATAATTTTAAATATGGTTATTAAAAAGCAATTTTCTTTTTAGATTTATAGACTCTATTTATCTACCTATTGATCTATCTATCTGTCCACCTATCTCTGTGTCTGAGATATGTATGCCTCTGGCCAGAGGAGAAATTGAGTTGCAAAGAGAAAATAATCCAAGAGTCCAAGGCATACCTTGGCTCCCTAAATCTGAACCTTTTTGTCCTTTGCTAAAAAATGTGATAGAAACTGCCTTGAGTATTTAATTTCTGTCCTTCTACTTTTATCTATAATTTTAGTTGCAGGATGAGCATCTGCTACACTGTGACAAAGTTAGACATCCTAAAAGTATTTGTTATTTCTAATTGCCACTGAGGAAACACCAGTTTTAAATAACCTGGTAACTTTATCCTTGTCCAGGACCTTTCAGTCTTTTATAATCTCCTTTTTGTCTCCTCTGAGTTAATTAGAACAAACTTTATTTACGTTTTGTATGTTTTTGTTGCAATTTTGTCAAGAATGTTATTATCCTGCATGGCTATCCTGTTGTATTTCATAAAGTAAACATTTTTAAAGGCAATATATAAGTGCAAATAAGACATCCCAAAACGTCATTTAAAATAAGACTCAAATCAGACAAGATTTCAGGATCTAGTAGCGTAGATTTCCAGAGTTTCTAGAATTGTAAATACTGATAATTTTCATAAATTCAGTATGACATTTATCCAACAAATTGGTAAGTCTTCAGCATCTTGAGTCTTTTGTGGAATTTAGGCAATCAGTACTTAATCCAACAATAGATGGTTTTGCCAAGAACACCTCAGTCCACTTGACTGTGGGGTATTAAGCAGTATATGGAGCCAACTAGGTTATAATTGTGTAAAATTATCCCTGGAAGATGGTAGGGTAAAATCATCTCCCTGAAGTAACCAGGGAGAATACCACTGAGCTTCTAGATCAGGTTCCCCCAAGATCCAACCATGACAGGACCCAGGGCAGTCTTCAGGGGCTGGTATATCCTTCCCTGTTCACAGAGACAAAGTCTGCCTTGTTTTTAAGTGCATGACTTTGTATGAAATATAGGTACCCAAAATTTAAGCAACAAAATTGCATTCTCAGTCATTATCAATAATCAAGTTTATAGTTGTCTAATTTGTCCCATGTATTAGTGTACTAAAGTTGATGTATCATGTTACCACTCACTGGCTGACTTGAAACAACAGCTCTTTATTCCTCAGAGTCCTGGAGGCAAAGAATCTAAAACCAAGGTTCAGCCATGCCGTGCTCCCTGTGAGGGTTCTTGGAGAACATCCTTCCTTGCCTCTTCCTAGCTCTCATTGGCTCCCAACAGTCATCAGCTGGTAGCTGCAGCACTCCAGTCTCTGCCTTCATTGTCAAATGGACTTCTTCATTTTGTCTCTGTGATTCCTCTCCTCTTCTTATGAGGACACTGTTCACTAGATTTAGGTCTCACACTAATCCACAGCGATCTCATTTCAACCTTAACTTAAACATACAAAGAGTATATTTACACAGAAAGCCATACTCTGAAGTACTGGGTAAACAAGAATTTGGAAGTAGGACAACATTCAACCCAGCACACCCTCTTAATTCTGGCTTGCTTTCTAGGTACTCATTTTTAAAAATAATCATTCTTCAATAACTATCTTAAAAGCTATTAAAACAAACTTTGTTAGGAATGCCCTGTGGGCATGTAAATTGCACTATTATGCAACTGAACTGTTAATTTTCTGGAAATAAGATGATAAAGAAATAATCTTTTGCAATATATTCCCAGCAAAGTCATATATTATACAAAAAAAGAAAGCTCATCTAAATATCCCCCAGTGCTGAGTTATTTGATGCATAATGGTATGTTGTCCATTCATCAATGATAACTACTAGATGAAGTTAGTGACAACAAGGGGAGCGCCAGTCTTTCTGTCCTTCAACACGACGCATACATTGTCCCAGTATGTCCTGTGAAATATTCTCACAAAAGGAGAAACTCTTCCCTTATAGCTAGATAGCAAAAGAAAGGACTAAGATGAATTCAGCATGTGAAACATTTCATAGGACACTTGATGTCTCTTCAAAAAATACATGTGCTCTGAAGATTCAGCAGTAGAAGTGCTATTCTAGGTTAAAGTAGTCTTTAAAAACATACTTATCAGACACATAAAATGGACATCACATCTTGGTTCAAATAACTACAGTTTAATAAAATATAGGAAACTATATATAATATATAGCGGAAATATATACAGGCAAACTATCAAGATGTGCTATGCATTATATCATAATGAGGAATTACTGACAATTTTGTAGGATCCAATATTAGTATGGTCAATTCTAAAACAAGATGACCTCTAGATATGCATAGAGAAGTAATTAACACTGAAGTGATATGATGCATAGAATTTGCCTTAAAATATTTCAGCAGAGAGGATAAAGAAAAAATAAAGAAAGAAAATGTAATAAGCAAACTATAATTGTCAGTTCTTCATCATCAATATGTGAGGGAATATTTTAATTTTATCTTTACTACAGTGTATATTTGAAAATTTTCATAACCATAAGTTAAAATAGACGTCTTAGACTAGTAATTCAAAACACAATTCTCTTTTTTTTCGGAGCAAGGTTTCAAAACTCCTTGGTCCACATCCATTATCAAGAGACAGAATAATCTTAGGGGCCTATTGACCAGAAGCAGATCTTCTTCTTCATTATCCTGCAGGCAGGATAATAAATCGGTGCAGCATCTGTGGGGGACAATTTGGGAATAGCTACCATGGGACAAATGCTCTTACCCATCATTCCAACTTCTAGAAATTTATCCCCATGAACATATGCGAAGGAATGCTATGAAATGTTCCTGGGCATTCACCACGATAATAATTTAATACTAAAGAACAAGAAGGACTGTGACTGTCATCATCAGCCAAGACTGGATCAAGAAATTACTGCCATTCAGCAAATGGAGTGTTTAAGCAGCTCTCACAATTAATGAAGTTGATTTATATTGCTAGTGTGGAAATACTTCCAAGATATGTGAAGTAAAAAATAGTACAGAAAACTAAGAATCCACTTGGAGTCCTACAAATATCTAAAAGAATAGAAGGAATGAATAATCCTAGTTACTTTCAAGGTGTAGAATTAGAGCAAAGGAAGTTTTAAATTTCTATTTTATGTATTTGAATGCTTAGCATATTAGTTTTGTGTTGTTGTGACAAAATATCTGAGAAAAGCAAGGTAATGGAGGCAAGATTTATATTGGCTCACAGTTTCAGAGGTTCAATCCATAGTCACTTGGCTCCACTGCTTCTATCCCTGTGGTGAGGTAGAAACACCATCGAAGAGAAATCTCCAATGGTGGAGAAAAGCCGCTCACTTTGTGGCAGCCAGGAAGCAGAGAAGGCGTGTACTCTCAGGCTTCCTCACTCTTACTTGTTTATTTATCTGTGCCTTTGCCCTGTTGGGTTGATGGAGTCTCTCATGTTCAGAAAGGGTCTCCATCTGTTTGCTATCCTACATGGCAATTATGTGAAAAAAAGGAAAACTGTGGTGATCTTTGACCCTCATCTTTACTCATTTCCCATTTTCCATAACTAACTGTATTTTCCTAACCAAATATAATGTCCTAGGAGAAGACATTTCATAGAAATCATGACAGTTGTGCAGGATTATGAAAAATATATTAGATTAATTTTCTTCATATTCTCACTGAAACAGAATTAACAGTTCCTTGATTTTTTGCCCCCAGACATTGTGGATGCTTTATCAGATCCAAAAAAATTTCTTTCAATTACTGAAAAGAGAGCAGACCAAATGAGAGCTATGGGCATTGAAACGGTAAGTAGAAATGGTTGGTTAAGGGTAACCAAATCAGGACACATGCTTATCCAACAGTAGTTTAAAAAACAAAATAAAGCAATAAGTATTACAAGTTTAAAGAAAGTTTTCAATTTAATAATAATTTCAAGGGTCTACAAGAATATAGAATATTTAATAAAATGTGAGCACCATAAGAAAGTCACTAAATCACCAATGGCTTAACATACCTGGGAATCCTAGTCCCACTAATTTGTAATGTTGTGAGAAAGTTGAAAATATAGATGCTTTTGTAATATGCTGAAATAATGATTAATATAGTTCAATGAATTAATGAAAGTGGCATTTATGGCAGAGTGTACATTTTGTACCTTTGTGTTGCAACCTTTTCCCATACCATACATACTTGTATTGCTGGTTTCTTTGTTTTCAAATGTTCCTTCTTACCAAACTCCTCAGTTGGGAGTAGAAGCAGCAGTCTCGCCAGTAGTTAGAAGAAAAGGAGTATCCTTCCCTTCTGTGGCTTGACCATTTGCCCACAACCTAAGGAAGCTACATGATCTTTGAAGAGAGTAAAAGTCAAGGAGGGAAAAATGGGAAAACCTGAGAGGTTCAGTCTAGACATTGTGAGATAGAGGTGTGCAACATATTTGGCCTTCAGTGAAATTTATCTGGGTCAATGTGAATATTTCTATTCCAGAGTGACATAGCTGATGTACCCAGTGACACTTCCAAGAATGATAAGAAAGGAAAAGCCAACACAGCCAAAACAAATGTGACCCCTCAGAGCAGCTCTGAGCTCAGACCAACAACCACAGCTGCCACAGGCTCTGGCATAGAAGCCAAAAAAGGTAAGGGAAAGTTGGTGGGCTCTTATCTCTTCTGGCAATTTCAGCCTCTCTGAAGTCTTATAAGTAGGTATTTAGAATTGTACTGGGTCCAGCCCATACCATCAATAAGCGAGGATAGATCCCAGGGAGCAGCTGCGTGGACCACAGCAGAGTGGCTACAGACAGATCACAGGCAGGGCTCTGCCCTGACCCCAGAGGCTCAGGCATCAGCACAAACCAAAGCCCTGTCCAGAAAAGAGCTGCACAGGTGCATAAGCAACAGGCAGAGGCTTGCCCCAATGCCACTGATAAGTGCATGGAGACCCTAGCCAGAAGCCTGCTCAGACAACAGGAACTGAGGTGCATAACCAAGAGTCAAAGGTCCTCCCAGACAATAGGTACATAGGGGCCCCAGCCAGAGGCACACCTAGATAGCATCCCAAGTGTTCATAAGCCCTAGCCAAAAGCCTACCAAGTCAACAGGTCAGCTCAGGGATCCAGAAGGCCACTATTCTGAACCCAGGAATTGGTGTATTGGTGAGCACCAGAGAAAAGGCTGCTCGATGGCTTGCTGTGAATTGAAGACCACTAGGTGGACAAAAAGTTGGCTCAATAAAAGCATAGTAGGCTACATCTATTAAAATAAACAAGTCAACTTCCAGATCACCTAAAGCAACCCCAAAGGGAAATGAGATGGAACAATCTGATACTCAAACACCTGGACTCCATGAACTGTCAATTAAAGAGGATTTGGAAAAAAGTGAAATCAGAAATAATTTCTCAGATAACAGCAGAGATTGTGCCCATAGTGCAAGACACGATCAATGTAGGGGGGTCACAGACAAAAATATAGAGGAGCTAAGGACCATGATGGAATTGCAATGTAGGAAACAAATAGAATCTGTAAAACAGATGCAAACAGATTTCCAGGAGATTAAAAACTCCACTGAAAGTTCACGCAGCAGAGTGAGCTAATGTGAGGATAGAATTTCAGATAAAGAAGATAGAATTGCAATTAGTGACCAGGAAAAGAAAACTTTCCTTAAAAATAGTAATGGACCATAAGAAATCAATCCAGCACCTGCTAGATGATGCAAAGAAGAATAACAAGACTGATTAAAGTCAATGAAGAAACAGGAAAGAGTACAGACAACATAAAAAAAGACTGTTCACAGGAGCAATGGCAGAAAAAGAACTTGACATACAGATAAGTGAGGCATATTGGACTCCAACTAGCAGTGATCAAAAAAAAAAATCTACACATAGGTATAGAATAGCTATGATTCCAGAAACCCAACAGAAAAATAAAATCTACAAGCAGTTAGAGAAAAGAAACAAATCACATACAAAAGGAAGCCCATCAGAATCACAGCAGACTTCTCAACACAAACCCTCAAGGCAAGAAGAGCTTGGAGTGATGTATTCCCAGCCCTAAAGGAAAACAGCCTCCAACCCAGAATGATGTACCCTGCAAAACTATCTTTCAAATTGATGGAGAAATAAGATACTTTCAACACAAAGAGAACTTTAGGAACTTCAGGAATACCAAATAAGCACTGCAAAATTTTAAACAATATCCTAGGAAAAGACAGTGAGGATTCCCCAGGAATCCCAGCAGAATGAGTACATCAGGCATGATAAGAAATTAAACTGAAAGGGGGAGAATCCAACAAAAAGAAAAGTCATGCAAGGGTAAGTCAGTACAGTTATAACTGCATAACCATTAATGTTAATGATCTCCGGCATAATGGGTCAAGTACCAAGATTCATCAATATGCTGCATACAAGAAATACACTTGATTAAAAATGGAACTCATAGACTGAAAGTTAAAGGATGGAAAACAATACTCCATGTGACATGAACCTGGAAAAAAGCAGGGGTAGCTATCCTCTTTGCAGATCAAGTGGACTTCAAATAAACACTGATTAAGAGAGACAAAGAAGGACACTACATCCTTATAAATGGACTAATCCGAGAGGAAGTGATGACAATCAGAAATATATATGTATCAAATATTAGTACACACAACTATATAAAACAAATACTAAAGGACATGAAAAATCAAGTATGCACTAAAACAATAGCAGTGAGGGACCTCAATACTCCACTGTCACAAATAGATAGATCAACTAGTCCGAAAATGAAATAATAGAATTCAATCAAACTCTTGAACAAATGAAGTTAACAGATGTTTGCAGAGTGTTCCATCCCACAAAATCAGAATACACATTCTTTTCAGCTGCTTTTGTGTCATTCTCAAAAATAGACTGTAGACTAACATATAGTACATGCTTAAGTAAGTGCAAAGGAATTGAAGTTATCCCCTGTATCACTATCAGACCATAGTGTGATTAAATTGGAAATCATTAGCAAAAGAAATCACAAGAATTTTATAAACACATGGAAATTGAACATTTCTGAATAACCAATGCGTCACAGAGGAAATTAAAGAAGAAATCAGTTTCTACAATTAAATGACAATGACAATACAACTTATCAGAATCTATGGGACACAATGAAACCAGTCTTATGAGGGAAATTCATAGCACTGAATACTCATATTAGGAAAACAGAGCAAGCTCAATAAACAACCTGATGCTGAACCTCAACCTTCTAGAAAAAGAAGAGCAGGACAAACCCAAAGCTCATAAAAGGGAAGAAATTATAAAGATCAGAGCAGAAATCAATGCAATGGAAACTAACAGCATGAAATGAAAAAAATCAATGAAGCTGAGAGTTGGTTCTTTGAAAGAAGAAACAAAATTGACAGACCTTTAGCCAACCTTATCAAAAAGGGAAAGAAAAGTCTCAAATCCATGAAATTAGGAATGAAAAGGGTGAAATTACAATGGACCCAGCAGAAATTCAGAGGATCATAGAGGATTATCAGTACCTCCTTTGAGAACCTATATGCCAATAAAATGGAAAATATGGAAGAATTGGACAGATTCCTAGATACATATGACTTAACAAAGTTGAACTAAGATGGCCTGAAAATTCTAAACAACCCAATATCAATCAATGAAATTGAAAACATAATTAAAACCTTACCACCTATGAAAAGCCTGATCCCTGATGGATTCACTGCTGAATTCTAAAAAACACTTAGAGAGAAACTATCGCCACTATGGTTTAAACTCTTCAGTGAAATTGAAAGGGAAGTAATACTCCTGAATCCAATCCTGGAAGCAAGCATCACCTTGATCCCCCAAGGAGAAAAAATAGAACTATGGGCCAATCTGTCTAATTAACATAAATGTAAAAACCCTTAATAAGATACTGGCAAATAGAATGCAGAAGATCATCAAGAAGATGATACACCCTGGCTAAGTGGGATTCATCTCAGGGATGCAGAGATGGTTCAACATATGAAAATCAATAAATATAATACACTATATTAATAGAGCCAAGGACAAAAACTATAAGTTCATCTCAAAAGATGAAGAAAAAGCATTTGACAAAACCCAACATGCATTTATGATAAAAAAAAAACCCTCCAAAAAATTGGAATAGACAGTCTACCTCAATCTGGTAAAAGTCATCTATGAAAACCAACAGACAATGTCATACTAAATGGTCAAAAACTGAAATCCTTCAGACTAAAATCAGAAACAAGACAGGGATGTCCACTATCACCATTCCTGCTCAATATAGTTTTGGAAACATTAGCCACAGCAATTAGACAAGAGAAATAAATAAAAGGAGTAAAGATAGGAAATGAAGAAGTCAAATTGTCATTATTTGCTGCATGACATGATACTCTTATAGAAGACCCCAAAAACTCCACCAAAAGTCTTCTAGACTTAATAACCAAATTCAATAAAGTGGCTGGATACAAGGTCAACACACAAAAAACAACAGCTCTTCTGTACATGAAAAACAGATTCACTGAGAAAGAAATGGGGTAAACAATTCCTTTCACAATAGCATCCAAAAAATTGAAATACCTAGCAATCAACCTAGTGAAAAAAATCAAAGATCTCTATACTAAAAACTTACAGTACTCTGAAAAAAGAGATTGAAGAAGATATCAGAAAATGGAAAGATAGCCCTTGCTTCTGGGTAGGAAGAATCAACATAGTGAAAATGTCTATACTTCCAAAACTGCTATATAGATCCAGTTGAAATCCCAGCAGCAAACTGTGCAGACCTTGAGAAAACAATCCAAAAATTCATTTGGAACAAGAAGAGACCTAGAGTAGCAAAAGCAATTCTAGGCAATAAAAACAAGGTAGGGGGTATCACAATCCCTGACTTGAAACTATACTGCAAAGATACTGTGATGAAAACAGCATTGTACTGGCAAAGAAACAGACCTGAGACCAGTGGAACATATTAGAAGATGCAGAAACAACTCCAGTCACACTCAGCCACCTCATCTTTGACAAAGGAGCCAAACACTCTTACTGGAGGAAAGAAGCCTCTTCAATAAATGGTGCTGGAAAAACTGGGTTTCAATTTGCCAAAGATTAAAATTAGACCTATATCTCTCGCTGTTCACTAAACTAAAATTGAAATGGATTAAAGATCTAAATATTAAAGCAGAAACACTAAATGGACTAGAAGAGAGATCATGTAGAAGTCTTGAAGACACTGGCATATGAAAAGAATTTATGAACAAAACCTCAGTTGCCTGTGAACCAGCACAAGCAATCAATGAGTGGGATTTCTTCTTATTAAAATGCTTCTGCACAGCAAGTGATACCACCAACAGTGTGAGGAAACAACCCACAGCATGAGAAAAAAATTTTACCAGCTGTTCCTCAGACAAAGGTCTACTGTATAGAATATATAATGAATTTTTAAAAATCAGACCTCCCAAATTTAAACACCCAATCTAAAACTGGCATCTGAAATGAACAGACATTTCTCAGACAAAAAAGTAGAAATAGTAAATAAATATATGAAAAGGTGCTCCACATCACTGGTCATTCAAGAGAGGCAAATGAAAACAACACTGAGATTCCACCTCAACCCAGAAAAAATGGCTGCTAGCACGAAATCAACCAATAACAAATGC